AAACCGAAATTGTTCACTGGGTCTCCTTGCACAATTTGCACAAAGTTTGGATCTTTTTTCGTTCAGTCTCTTAATCCCACTATTCAACGGTTGGTTGGTTGGTTAGTTTGTTGTTTAACGCCGCACCCAGCAATATTCCAGCTATATGACGGTAAATAATCGAATCTGGACCAGACAATCCAGTGATTAATATCATGAGCATCGATCCACGCAATTGGGATCGATGCCATGTATCAACCAAGTCAGCGAGTCTGACCACCCGATCCCGTTAGTCGCCTCTTACGACAAGCATAGACGCCTTTTACGGCAAGCATGAGGGGTTGCTGAAGACCTGTTCTACCCCGGACATTCACGGGTCACTACTCTACGGTAACAAGTTTCACTATTCCGCAGGAAAGAGAACTTCTGCTCCCATGCACTCCTTGAAACAAAAACAACCTGTTTGAGAGCAATGAGGCAATTATCAAATGGGAGAACAAGAACAAAAAATAGGGAAAGGGTGATATCTTGTCATTTGTCATAACATTAGGATTTCATTTCACACACTACAAGTGTTGAAGAAATTTCCAATTTCATTTCATTATCTCGGCAAGATACTCAAGTGTTAGTGTAAAGCCTATCTTGAGAGAACTGCAGTCTTGATATCACAACCATTCGGTTCCCAACAATAAAATCTCTTAAAGGTTGACATTGGATGATTTCGGTAGCCACATACCCCTACCCATACCTTCAGTGCTTTAGAAGTTTATGCATTCCTTGTTGAATGAGCCTTGAAATCCGATGTGTCCATGTTGGCCTATTCCATCATAAATACGAATCTGCAAATCAGAGCTGATACATGTGCACAAAGAAACAGATCCGCAAAGCGCGGAGCGTGATTGGTGCCTATGGGTATGCCTACTTCTTGACTAAATGTTTTATCCAAAAATTTCAGCATTTCCCCAGTAAATGCCCGATGGCATTTGCTTTCAGTTTTTACATGAACCTCTGAAGATAGATATGTAACCGTATCTATGGTCATCGTCTTTTGTAACAAAAGCCCCTTGGATCAAGGAATGAAGTTTACCTTAAGTTTGTCATGTGTGATAGTGATGTACGAAGTTGAAAAATCAAATGTTTGACAGAACTGAAGCTGGTTCTTTTCTGAGGTTGTAAACCGTCAGGCATTCTTTTGAGTTTTTTTTAGAATCCACATGGTATTAATTCCGCCTGTCTCAAATACTTTCTGTGAATATAAAGAAAGCCATTCTTTGATTGCATTAATGATTATGGTTAATCTTTGAGACAGGGATTTGGTTGTGCATTTTCTGGACCCAGCAATATATCTCTCTGTGTTCGGATTTTTATGGTGCTTTGTCCAATACAAATGGATGGGACATGTCCCCAGGTTGTAGAGTCAAGTCAAAAGTTGATAGTATTGATGCATGGTTTTGGTAGATTTCTTCCTCAGTTAACATACTGGCCTTATATGTGGCATTAGTTAATATGTCACTTATACCAAGTTCATTGATGATACAATTAATGTAGTGATGCTAACATATAATGGTTATGTCATTTGAGACCTTTTCAGTGGGAACAACTACAAACTCTAGGGCAACCAAACTTTGGATGACAGCTGGGTGTGACAGAACGGGTTTTTCCATTTTTGTTTCCTCTTATTCAATGTGTGCATATTACCAATGTCACTCACTGACTTAACCCACTCTGAAAGACATCCAACAGGTTCCAACAGGCCCATTTATTGGCATATGCTTCGACAGCATAAATAATTATTTTAAAGTTGCGATCCCATTTGGCAGGAGGCTGATGCCGATATTTTTGTCGATTTACAAATAACTGACGAGGGTTGTTATCGTCAAAAATAGAGAAGTCAACTGTGATTATAAGACCTACAGGTTGGTAGCAGAATGATGAGTCTTGGCAGCTACAAGTAGTGACTCAACGTTCTGCAACCCTCACCTATAATTGGATGAATTCCCTTGTTTGCAAATTTCAAGGATTTTCGTTGTGTGTCTTGGAAAATCTCAATATTGTACGAGCGCATCTCTCGATTTGCTGCAACTTACATTAAACACTACTGCCACATAGCAATACACGGAGATGTGTGCAGCTACATATGTTTTGTGACGTTTATGCCAAACGAAATATACATCATGTAGGATCCACACATTGTACTTCAAACATTTTGCAATGCAAGTCAGCTTTGTGACTAGGAATCATAAGCTGGGCCTCACTACTAAGTGTGTCAATCAAATTGCTTGTCTGGTTTGTAACTTTGTGTGGAGGTCACACAAGACAGGTACTCAAAACCTGATGAATGCAAATAACAAATCATGGGACACGTACATTTTGCCACGCGTATCTGCGTGAATCGTTATACTATCAATAAATCCTTGTCTGAGAGCCCGGTACGTGTATGCCCTATCAAGCGACTACTTAGTAATGCAACGACACGTTTAAGTAGAACGAACAAATGAATACAAATATATGGCCTAGTCAGTTGAGCAAGCTATTTCCGTTATCATTACTAGACGAAACACGTCAAAGGTGGCATGATTTCAACTGAGCAGCTTTATGCAATTCTCATTCAACTGATAATATCAAATGTGGTAAAAATTCATTAATATCACCAATTCTAAATTGTAACAATGTTTTAAAATATTCATGCTTTAGTGAGTGTGTGAGTGAGGTTTTACGCCGCTTTTAGCAATATTCAAGCAATATCACGGCGGGGACACCACATTGTATCAATGTCGGGAATGGAACCCGGGTCTTCGGCGTGACGAGAGAACGCTTTAACCACTAGGATATTCGACTGCCCCTATTCATGCTTTAATAAACAGGAGTCAACTCAACTGGATCCCAACGTTTGATGACAAGCATATTTGCCTATCCTGCATCATGATCACACCTTGCATTCACAAAACGGAGACCTGTAGGCATGCACAGAATAATCAAACAAAGACCATGCATAGTCACGTCTCTCGAAGCGTCATCTTCATAGTTGTTGTCTCACATCCATTCTTCAGTTTATATCATCGCCATATCAGGAGAACTGATTGACATATGCTTCTATTGTTGGTAATATATCCGCTTCTGTGCTCTTACAGGTGGTCCCCTCAATAGGAAAGTATCCAGCACTGTAAACATGTATCGACAGCTGTAGAGCTGATTTGTCTGTTTTATTGGTTTTATTCCTTTCCTTATTCGTCTTCTGACGAAAACCATCACTTGCAGGTTTGGTTCTTTTGTGTAGATTTGGACGTGTTTTGAATACATCTACACAACGTTTACTTGTTTTTATCGACTCATCAGTGTGTTTACGTTAGCTACCGTATTTCTCACAGGAAGTTCTAAATTGTCTAATATTCATGTTCTGATCAATGTGGTCGAAACGTAATCTAATATCTCATATCCATGGAGGAGGAGGCTCGTGCCCAGCGTTCTGTTGGTTCAGACGGAAGGGGGAGGTTCGCTTGTGTAGTCGTGCCAGAGGAAACTGTCATGGCTTCCATCTGCCTGCCGTGTTCACTTGATATTGACATTGAAAGAAGACAGGTATCCCGAACTCTGGGGATTTTGTGCCTTAGAAAAGTCCACATTGTCCACAAAGTGACCTTACTGCATTTGGTAACTTCTTGTGAACAATTTAGATGATAAACGTCGTTAAAGCTCATTTTCTCTCTCATTTGACGAGCGTCCACCATCATGTTGTTTACAGGAGCACGCCACCACCACTTGTCAATATAACTGACTACAAGAGAAGGACAGTCTCTTCAGAGTATTAATTGTATCAGTGGATTTCTTACAATACACATTTTCATTCCTGATAGGGATATTTTATCTTTCCATGATATACAAAACTGAATCTCATGATATGCCAAGTGTATATTTTCAGAGAATGTCATATCTGATTATCCTTATCAAACAGTGAGTAATATATATGAGACAACTGTAAAAGTACAAAACGAACTGAACAATAATATACCAGTAATCGTTTACATATTCATGTGTAATAGATGTGTGTTGCGTAGCAGTATCCCTGAATAGATGTGTAAGATGGATGCGTAAGGCAACTGTATGATCCTGAATGATGTGTGAGGTTGTGCAGTAAGCTTATACTTGAATATGGAATGGATGTTTTAGATGCATCACTAGCGCTGAACAGCTGAACATACATTTTGTATGAAGATGTAGGATGTAAATGATCCCTAAATAAAAAATACATTGAAAAATGTGTCGGATGTCCCTGTAATCATGAAGATACGCCTTTAAGCAGGATGAAAGTGTGTGATGCGTACCATTAACCTGTCAGTATTCTTTAGGGACAAACACAGTATGTGAAATGTATTTGGAGACCAACATGTTGGCGTGCATATTGATCAGCTTAATCTTCCAAGATCAGCTGACCGTGATTCAAATTGAAAACTCACTCTAATGGTGATTCGTTGTTTGTAAACACGGCACTCATGGATTGCCTCTCGACCTCCTTCAGAGTTTGCATCCTTCCCCAACCCCTGCCCCCAAAACATTAAGCTAACACACCTTGACACCATTGACATTTGACTGTCGGTCGATCCGATAGCTATTTACTAGTACTGGTGTGAAAGCACGTGAAGATCCGAGTGGAGAATGGGTCTTCAGCAACCCATTGCTTGCCGTAAAAGGCGACTTATGGCATCGAGTGATCAGGCTCGCTGATTTGTTTTAAGCATGATATCGTATCCGAATTGCGTAGATCGATGCTCATGATGTAAATGCAGTCTGGTCTAGACTCGATTATTTACAGACCTACGGCATAAAGCTGTAATATCCCTTCATTGCGTAGTTAAACAACAAACAAGCTAATATATCACATGTCACTCATTCTGCTAGAACTCGACAACCGGCTTTATGTATGTCAGGATACACATTTACATTTCTGATTAAATACTCTCTCCCTAGTTCGACCAACAGGGGTACATGTCACGTTTCTTATATATGTATTCGCAATTCTTATATAAATAAACCATTTAATATTCTGTGATTGTGAAATTTACAAACTAAACGCTTTAACAACAAACAAACAAAACAAAATCCACTTGACTATCGTCGAGTTGGATGCAAATATGACAACGGATGTTCAGCATCCCTCGTATCAGTATTGAGGCTGTTAGAACGTGTCGAGTCCTGTGCATCCAGTCCAATTGGACCCGAGAAGAAAAGTGTTAGAAGTGGTCTTCGGCAACTCATGCTTGTAAGAGACGACTAACGGGATCTGGTGGCCAGGCTCGCTGACTTGATTCGCATATGCCAGTTGCGTAGACCGCTGCCTATCATGTCAATCACTGGATTGTCTGGTCCAGACTCGATTCTTTACAATCCGCCGCCATATATCTGGAATATTTGTGAGTGCGACTAAAACATCGTTTCATAATGCAGACTTCCCACGTCTTTCACTCGTTCACATATTTCTGAGCATTTAAGTTCAAAATTAATGAAGTTTAAAATTATAAAAAATAGTACATAAATAGTGCATATGAAAGCATGAACATTGGAATAAATGATGGTTTATTTATAACCATGAAATTATATGATGGGATACACTTGCAGTTATCTAGTTGAATCAGGAAAATAAATATAGGTTCAACCTAAACAAAGCTCCCAGAAGATGAGGTTTGAATAGAAATCGTGATCGGAGCAGGTGCTGTTTCACTGAATTTAATTAAATATTCTGCACAGGGTTTCTGTGCCAGTCAAATGCTTTGATGTTGCTACGATGGTTGTTCAGGTTTCAAAATCGTTTGGAGATATCTAATATACTGTAACTACAGAAATATCAAAGGATTCTCCAGGGTTATAATTTATCTTCAGTGCGATCCTCAGTAAGACTGTCCACTGTGGTTGTATCGTCAACAGGAGGTAGAGCCCAGGGTTGTGGGGTGGTCGTAGAAAACAGGAAGACAATGGTTGACATGAGCAGCAAAGCCGCTGCTACGTAGAACGCAGACTGCCACTCACTCTGGGAACCCTGGGGAAACATGGGGAAATAACGACATTTTGTCATTGTTAAAACGTTCTGTAAAGATGTCATGTGTTATTATATACACAACAAAACCCTATCCATAATCATAAGCCATCTGTACTAAAAACATAGTTCAAAATACGATTCCGACTATATCATATGCATGTTGATGAATCCCTATCAAACAGTGATGATACCAGGTGTTTGCGATAGGTGAGCGCATCCTGTCCCTCCCGTCCGTCACAAACACATGCAAAATAAAGTCAAGTGTACACGTGAAAAACCCATGGGAACATATGGTAGAGGTTAAAATACAATTGGAAATGCCCTCCACCGGTCTACCATAGAACTTTGGAAAACTTTACTAATGAGATGAATGTTGTAACTTTGATCAAACAGCATTTTAGCAGGATATTTATGGCGCACTTTAAAATCTTTTCAGAGATCGTGCTCGATAGAATCTCAGAAGTTGTGAAATGTAGACACCAAAGCCTGGTTACAGTGTTTCTGGTCCAGTTATATAGAAAGTATCATACTAATAATCATAGACTGGTCCGAAACATCAGTTTTGAATATGATGTGTGTTCACAACTTCATGTTCATATTTGGGTAGACAGACGTTGAGCACAGAGGCATTCCTCATATAACATAATTCACAAAAGGTTTCAACCTTTATTAGCCTCGTGTTATCAGAAATGTACAGACGGCTAATGCCCTGACATAGGCTCACACGAACAGTGTGCTCAGATTAGCTAACACCGTCCCCTAATGCAATGGTATCTATACTCACTGTAGGGGTCAGTAGTGACACAACATAGGGCGCCACTATCCCTGGTATACTGGCAATGGTGTTAGACACGGCGAAGAGAATTGCAGAATGGGCAAGGGCGATCTCTACAAAGGTCACCAAAAACCCTCCAGAGAAGGACAGTCCACTCAATGCCCCTGCTACACAGAGCAATGCGACTGCGGGTATCTGACTTCTACAGTCGAGCTTTGCCAATGTGATCATCAGGACTGCCGGTACAGCGCAAGCTGAAGAAACAATGGTCTATGTGAGTGAAGTTGTGTGTCTTGAGAATCTTTCATGTAATAAGGTATGTTATCGTCATAAGCTTTGCCCTAATATTCGTAGTAACTTCAAATATACCTGTATCATGATAATAAAAATAATATTGGGACGCAACGTTCAATTATTTTCCAAAGATAAATTTCAAAGACAACATTAACATTTGCAAGCACTACCACCTACGTGTAATTTAATCTTATGTTTGATGGTGGCTAAAATGAAACAAACAAGAAATGATTATTCGATGGTGACGTATTTGATACGGTTATCATAGTTACGACATGGCCTTTACGTTTGCAGTGTTTAGGCGACTGTTTTCATCCTGGTAACGTTTGTAATAACGTTTGAAATGTTTTGATCTATTCCAATTTCCATGTGTTCATTTTCTTTTGCTCGGCAGTTTATGAGAACAATTGTGACAATAATGACTCTTAAACACCATGCTAACGTTAAACAGAATAAACACAACAAGAAACGAGAACGAGAGCAATTAGCACCTAGAGAATTCATGAGCTTCCTTGTGTTGTCACATGAGAGATACTTCTTCTTTATAAGTGCATCCGCCAGCCAGCCAGCCAGAAATACAAAGAGACCACATATATATATATATATAAAATTATATATGGTTTAATCGTCTTAATGATATAACGTATATGTAAGGAATAAATGAATAGCGTTTCCATTCTTTGGAAAAAAGGGTAGTTAGATTTTTATCCTGATTAAAATCTGTAATATGCAAGTTCAGTCTTACCGATTGAATGTCCATATGCATGACTTCATTGAGGTAAGTTGGAAGTTGAAGCTGTAGCATGTAGTAGGCGTAGTTGTACAATGTGTGGGTGCAGATTAACGTCCACGCCGCCCTCGACCTCAGCATATCCCCCCATGGTATCTTCTACAGAGAACACCGAAGTTTCGTGTGCACATTTGTATAAATAAAGTACGAGTAATAGAATATATCATGTCAACAATGTAATTAACTTCCAGTACTTATTGAAATTACATTTTGATTTTATCTGTTGGGATAAAGGCTTTTATATAGGCCAATGAAGTTTACACTATAGCCATAGTAATTGTGACTTTGGTGTTTAACACATTGTGACCGGTACCAAAAATGATCTCAGCGTGCAGGTCATCATAAGCCCATACAAAGTTCCTGATTTTAAATTTTAGATACGATCGACACCAAGTCGTGCATAAACCAGTCTTAACCAAGATAGTCAATATAATAACCAACTTCGAATCGATACAATTGACAATACATCATACAACAATAGCGTATTTGTAATGCGGTGTGAGAAGGCGGAGACGGTGTTGTGAGACAGAACGCCAACACTTTTCATGACGAGGAAAGGGCGGTGGGGGAGTCTAGTGGTTAAGAGTTCGCTCGTCACACCGAAGACCCGGGTTCGATTCCCCTCATGGATACAAAGTGTGAAGCCCAGTTCTGGTGTCACCAGCCCTGATATTGCTGGAATATTGCTAAATCGTTTGCTAAAACCATTGTACACATGTCCGGAATCGAAGCCGGATCTTCGGCGTGACGAGCGGACGCTTTAACAACTAGGCAACACGACCGCCCAACAAGTGGATTCCTTAGATGACGTGGAAATGCTTCGCAATTGTTTCTGACGAAGCGAGGCATGAGAATAGCAACATTGGCAGCTGGACAACATATACTAATAGTGAGGGAGTCCGTTGTGTTTAACAGTATTCCAGTTATATCACGCCGTGTCAGCTTGATGTGGGGGGAAACCCCGAAGTAATGCAGGTCTCAGACTTTTACCACTTAGGTGAAACCCAAGATCACGGGTATGGTGCTAACAAACCTAGAAACTATGTCTCATAATTTCTGTTCTACAGATAACTGGGACCTACACTGACACTTTCTACAGTCCTGCCTAACAACAATGTGAAAAACACAAGGTTTTGGATTAACTTCAAGAATGTGGCCCTTGCTGTCCGCAATATGACCACACTTGCTGTAGACGTAGATGACGTATTCAACACCCTTTTATGTAATCGACTCTTTCAAGTCAAATATACACCAACGTATTTTTATTTCCCTGTGGAATTTTCATCTGCAAATTTTGGAGAAAGAAGCAATGAAAGTAATATTTGAAAGCGGTTGGTTTTAACATTTTCTTGGCAAATATGATTAAAACATGTGACAGAACAGGAGATGGTTTGTCTACTGGAACATACTTAATGTTTTCTGTTTTCATTATTACATTCAAGGTATGTTTGAAATAAGCAAATGTAGTAGAGAGTTTTTGTGATGACGTGATGACGTGATGAATGTAATGTGCCCAGTTTCCACAGCTGAGTCAGTACCTCTGCAAGCCAATAACAAGTGATTCGAACTTCATAATCTACTCCACTTATTTTCCAAAATCTATCACTGCAGTAAGGCAGCCTTAGTTTTGTGTACAGAAACACTTACATATCAGCATACCCTTATGAAAACTGTTTTGTAACCTTTAAACAATAGCTTATTAATCACGCATGCCTCTTTTGGTAGGTTATCTTTATATTTACTTGTTCATCGGATGGTGAGAACAAGTTTATTGGGTCAGGTTTTGCACCGTCCACATCATCCTTCATACGATAAATGCAGGATACCAGCATAGAAGGAGGATTGAAACGTCAAAGGAATAGAGTGATGGACAAAGACATATGTGTTTACCTGTAAATGCGATACTTTGTAAAGTCGAGATTTCCGATTTGGGTGCCCATTGTACCCAGAAAGCGGGGAGCGATGTGAGCAACACTGACTTAGAAACAGAACAAAACACGACTGTGAGAAACTGCTCTCACCAACGGTAATGATTCATACACGTGGTTGATATGTTTGGCAACGTCTCATTCAAGAAGGTGAACGAGTATGAAAAGATCATATTAAGTAGCTCCAACGACAAGCAACAAAGTGTTAGCTCACGGGTCTACATTAATCAAAAGCGGTGGGTATGTAATCTAGGAATAGTCAAGGTATAACACAAAGGCAGGTGAGGCCAAAGGTTGACACTAAGAAATATTTAGAGACTACATGTATGTACTTACATTGCTTCCTTCTTAAAAGATGGAGGGACGGTCGGGTAGCCTAGTGGTTAAAGCGTTCGCTCGTCACGTCGAAGACCCGGGTTCGATTCCCGACATGGGTACAATGTGTGAAGCCCATTTCTGGTGTCCCCCGCCGTGATATTGCTGGCATATTGCTAAAAGCGGCGTAAAACCATACTCACCCACTCACTCACTCACTCACTCACTTAAAAGATGGATTACTTCTATGTATGGTTCTAAAACATCAAGTACCTACGATATATTCATACTTGGTGCTAGCCCTAAATAAAGGTTGATGTAATGAAATAATACAAAACATAAATAAGCATACATTTATTATGACAATTCTCACCGCAAATGCTCCAGTTAGAATCCTAAGACCAACCAGGATGTAGACGTTCTTGCGGGCACCGACGGGCGATAACAATGTTGATGCAGAACACAGAATAAACCCTATACCAATGACTTTTCTGGGACCAAATCGTTCGGCTAGAAACCCACAGGGAATTTGGAGGCATAGGTAACCCCAAAACATTGCACCAAGAACAATTCCTTGAATTTGTTTGCTCCATTCAAACTCTCCCATCTGTAAATACCAAGACGTCCTCTGTATTAATACATGAACACAACGATGTATTACTAATGTGGCAATTAATAATAAGAAGAAGAAGATGAAGGAGAGGAAAAAGAAAAACAACTTTACAGGCACTTAAAAACAACCAATGGCAGTCATGAGAAAAGACCTACCATGGATTCCAGTGAGAGGTTTAGGAAACAGGTGTGGTCTATAACTGCAACCTCGGGGTACCAAGGGTAGGGGATTACAATAATAATGTACATGACAAAACACAGTGACATTGTTGTTTTTCATTTACACCCAGTAGCCTGAAAAAGGTAATTAAAAGGTCCAAATCTAATACGGCTCCAAGGCCTGTTGGTATTCGAGATCGGCTTTGGAAACTGTTTCCTTGTGTCCAAAACCATGACTTCAGTGCATAAATTCTCTTGTGGATACAGGGGATGTGAGGCATCAAGACTCATGATGAAAACAAGGCATTCCACATTCCTCATGGAAAGGTTATCTGAGCGACCACTGCATCGAGTTTATGAGCAGTGTGTTGAGAATATCAGCAACCCTGCAGAGTCCTCCGCTTGGATAAAGTCGGCTGGCCTGAAAAGTGAAACAGAAGGCTTTCTCTTTGCTGCTCAAGACCAGTCACTTCCCACTCGAAACCGTCAATGTGTGAGTTTGCATCAAAATGTAAATGTGAAATGTAGAATATGCAATAACTTTAACGAGACTGTCCAACATATTGTCAGTGGATGCCCAGTATTGGCACAAACACAGTACCTTAAGTGACATGATGTAGTGTCTCGACCGTCTTTGCAATGCTTGTTGTTTTGACAGAGAGGTTCAGGAAAAACATGGCAAATATGCAGACCTCGCTTTCGAAATGTAACGCTTGCATCCCAAGAACCAAATTGTCCGTCTCCCCATTGTTCTTGGTGCCTGAGGTTTGGTACCTCCCAATCTGATGATATTTGGAGAATGCCTGGGGTGGCTACCAGGAATACAGCCCTTCTGACCATGTGGGTAACGCAGAAGGCTGCAGTGTTGGGGAGTCTTCACATTCTCCGAAAAGTTCTGGGTGGGTTTGACGAGGCAGCGTTTCCTGGGAGAAGTCCAATTCGCTGTCTGGGCTTCGTGCGTGTGTGTGTGCTGATGATGAGCCTAACCAGCCTGACTGTGCCAGGTCCACCCAAACCCTCTTTGCTGCATTTTAAAATTTTAATCTGTACATAATAACAATTTTCATTCTTCCGTGAATTATGACATGCTAAAACAATCCCTGAAAATAGTATATAGATGTTTCAGATGAGTTACTATAAGACAACTCACCTCGTACCCATCACCATCATTGGTAATCCAACTAAGAAATTGCCCAGCAAAAATGATCTCAGCGTGCAGGTCATCATAAGCCCATACAAAGTTCCTGATTTTAAATTTTAGATACGATCGACACCAAGTCGTGCATAAACCAGTCTTAACCAAGATAGTCAATATAATAACCAACTTCGAATCGATACAATTGACAATACATCATACAACAATAGCATATTTGTAATGCGGTGTGAGAAGGCGGAGACGGTGTTGTGAGACAGAACGCCAACACTTTTCATGACGAGGAAAGGGCGGTGGGGGAGTCTAGTAGTTAAGAGTTTGCTCGTCACACCGAAGACCCGGGTTCGATTCCCCTCATGGGTACAAAGTGTGAAGCCCAGTTCTGGTGTCACCAGCCCTGATATTGCAGGAATATTGCTAAATCGTTTGCTAAAACCATTGTACACATGTCGGGAATCGAAGCCGGATCTTCGGCGTGACGAGCGGACGCTTTAACAACTAGGCAACACGACCGCCCAACAAGTGGATTCCTTAGATGACGTGGAAATGCTTCGCAATTGTTTCTGACGAAGCGAGGCATGAGAATAGCAACACTGGCAGCTGGACAACATATACTAATAGGGAGGGAGTCCGTTGTGTTTAACAGTATTCCAGTTATATCACGCCGTGTCAGCTTGATGTGGGGGGAAACCCCGAAGTAATGCAGGTCTCAGACTTTTACCACATAGGTGAAACCCAAGATCACGGGTATGGTGCTAACAAACCTAGAAACATAACCAGGGCGGACAGTGATTCTAACACACAGTCATAGGTTTTTGCCGGACACTAATCTCCATAGTAAAATGGCAGCGCCTTAGACAACTGGGCCACAAATGCCTCAACATCTAAGGTGAGGTGAAATGGGGTTTAGCGTCACGTCCAAGATTATTGCACACATTGCGACGTGTGACGTCTTTTTGGTAAGCTCTACTGAAATTATACTTCGTTGTAAGTCACTCCCTTTATATTTCTATCAATACACACGCGATAGCAAATCATAGCAAAGTCAGTACTGCATAGGACAAGATAAAGTCGTACTTGGATTTCAAATGACTAGTTTTTTAATTTAATTGTATTTGTCCTACCTTTTCTTTCCGTATCCGTGATTTGGTATTTTGTTCTATGTAGGTTTTTTCATCCTCTGATATCCATGGTTGATCGCATGGTTTATCACGTGACAGAATCATCCATGATAAAGACCATGCTACCCCGAGACTACCTGTATTTGATGAAACATGTGACAGTATGTACCCATACAATCAAAGCAATAACCTTAGTCTGATACGACATGTGACATCACTGCGGTGTGTACATACACTGTGTACATATTGTATAAATTATAAAGCGTTCTTGTGAAAAGTTAAAAAGTTTCCCCGAAAATTAACAAAAATAAAATAATACTGTCTGCTTAATAAGGTGAGGTGAAATGGAGTTTAACGTTACGTCCAAGATTATTGCGCTTATATAGCATGCATGTATGTGTATGTCTGTTTGGCTGCTTGTACTAGTCCTGACTTATGCCGATTTATAGTGTTAGCCCTCTGAAATACCATGCAGCAGTTTAACATGTATACCCCACTCAGACACAGTATACTGACTTAGCCGACCAGTCCTTGTTTTAACCCCTCAATGCCGAGCGCCAGACAGGGTACCAACGAGTACCATCTTTTAACGTCTTTTGGTGGGATGCGGCCGGGCATCGAACCCCGAACCTTCCACTCTCCGGGCAGACTCTCCATCCCCGGACAGCGGAGGCGGTCTTATGGTTGCAAAGGTTGTGTATAGGCGTAAGTGTTACAATCAGCTTAATAACCGATGTGTATGATAATGGAGTCTTTGTTTGTATGCGACATGAACTTAGAATTACCTTTTTAGGTAAAAGGAGCTGCTTGATGTTATTCAAAGAAACATAATTATTATTCACTGATACGCACCTGTGACATAAAACACCGAAGCCCATCCACCGTCAATGCCAGATCTGCACAGGAACCCGGACAGTGGAAAGACTAAAGCATTTCCAACTTCACTACCTAGCACACATTAGAGTAAATCAATAAACCACAAAAGGATAATACAAAAACATTCGCCTGATTTAAAGCGTATTAAATGAAATAACATATGTGTGAGTGTTTTGCAGTGGGTGTCATTCCATATATTGGAGATGTTCTCGTTATGTTGAAGCTGAATACTTCTAAATAATAGTTATCTTGAAGATACCCCTCGGCTACACTGCTATAGTTATGTATGTTTCATTGTTTAGTGATACTGGTGATTTGCTCTGCTTGGTTCCCTCAATTCGCCATTCGTTTAATCAGAGTAAATGCATGAAAGATAGTCATTAAAATTCAAATGAGTGTATTTATTAAGGAGATACATCTACTGTTTTCAATTTAGGGATGGATTATGTCCGACGCAGTTTCCTTTTTTCGACTTGTACCATTTGTTCCTGTGTGGTTGTTTTTCAGGTGAACAATTGACAGGCCTTTCCATAAGTTTGCGACGGGTGCCACCTACGGGGCAGGATACGCCCACCTTTTCGGCACCACCTGGTGTAATCACTATTTGAAAGTGATTCATAAACACCTGCACCTGATGTAGTCGTTCTCAAATATATTCAGTAACCTTTATATTTTAGCATCACTACATTATTTGTTTGATCAAAGATCTTAGTATGATTGACATATCAGACAATGCCACAGTGAAGGACAGTATGTTAATTGGTTGAGGACAGAAAGATTCAGTACAATTTGCCCAAAAAGAAAGCTAATGTCATCTGAAGTTTAGTGAGAAAACAAAATATGAAATGCTGGACTTCCTTATTGAAAATGCACATGTGAAATTAGGGAATATGACATTTTGGCAATAAGAAGACATCTCAATGGACATCAGTTGCAGATCTGTTTCTTGATGCAGATAAATTGGAATTTCAGCTTGGAATGTCAGAGTCAAAACAAGTCAATTTTGCCATGAAGTTGCAGTTATGATTCATAATTATGGAAAAGTTTTTTTGTCGCATTCTTTTACCACTACTATGTCTCATAATTTCTGTTCTACAGATAACTGGGACCTACACTGACACTTTCTACAGTCCTGCCTAACAACAATGTGAAAAACACAAGGTTTTGGATTAACTTCAAGAATGTGGCCCTTGCTGTCCGCAATATGACCACACTTGCTGTAGACGTAGATGACGTATTCAACACACTTTTATGTAATCGACTCTTTCAAAGTCAAACATACACCAACGTATTTTTATTTGCCTGTGGAATTTTCATCTGCAAATTTGAAAGCGGTTGGTTTTCACTTTTTCTTGGCAAATATAATCAAAACATGTGACAGAACAGGAGATTGTTTGTCTACTGGAATATACTTAATGTTTTCTGTTTTCATTGTTACATTCAAGGTATGTTTGAAATAAGCAAATGTAGTAGAGAGTTTTTGTGATGACGTGATGACGTGATGAATGTAATGTGCCCAGTTTCCACAGCTGAGTCAGTACCTCTGCAAGCTAATAACAAGTGATTCGAACTTCATAATCTACTCCACTTATTTTCCAAAATCTATCACTGCAGTAAGGCAGCCTTACATATCAGCATACCCTTATGAAAACTGTTTTGTAACCTTTAAACAATAGTTTATTAATCACGCATGCCTCTTTTGGTAGGTTATCTTTATATTTACTTGTTCATCGGATGGTGAGAACAAGTTTATTGGGTCAGGTTTTGCACCGTCCATACCATCCTTCATACGATAAATGCAGGATACCAGCATAGAAGGAGGATTGAAACGTCAAAGGAATAGAGTGATGGACAAAGACATATGTGTTTACCTGTAAATGCGATACTTTGTAAAGTCGAGATTTCCGATTTGTGTGCCCATTGTACCCAGAAAGCGGGAAGCGATGTGAGCAACACTGACTTAGAAACAGAACAAAACACGACTGTGAGAAACTGCTCTCACCAACGGTAATGATTCATACACGTGGTTGATATGTTTGGCAACGTCTCATTCAAGAAGGTGAACGAGTATGAAAAGATCATATTAAGTAGCTCCAACGACAAGCAACAAAGTGTTAGCCCACGGGTCTACATTAATCCAATGCGGTGGGTATGTAATCTAGGAATAGTCAAGGTATAACACAAAGGCAGGTGAGGCCAAAGGTTGACACTAAGAAATATTTAGAGACTACATGTATGTACTTACATTGCTTCCTTCTTAAAAGATGGAGGGACGGTCGGGTAGCCTAGTGGTTAAAGCGTTCGCTCGTCACGTCGAAGACCCGGGTTCGATTCCCGACATGGGTACAATGTGTGAACCCATTTTCTGGTGTCCCCCGCCGTGATATTGCTGGAATATTGCTAAAAGCGGCATAAAACCATACTCACTCACTCACTCACTCACTCACTTAAAAGATGGATTACTTCTATGTATGGTTCTAAAACATCAAGTAGATACGATATATACATACGTGGTGCTAGCCCTAAATAGAGGTTTTGATGTAATGAAATAATACAAAACATAAATAAGCATACATTTTTTATGACAATTCTCACCACAAATGCTCCAGTTAGAATCCTAAGACCAACCTGGATGTAGACGTTCTTGCGGGCACCGACGGGCGATAACAATGTTGTGGCAGAACACAGAATAAACCCTATACCAATGACTTTTCTGGGACCAAATCGTTCGGCTAGAAACCCACAGGGAATTTGGAGGCATAGGTAACCCCAAAACATTGCACCAAGAACAATTCCTTGAATTTGTTTGCTCCATTCAAACTCTCCCATCTGTAAATACCAAGACGTCCTCTGTATTAATACATGAACACAACGATGTATACCAAATGTGGCAATTAATAATAATAAGAAGAAGATGAAGGAGAGGAAAAAGAAAAACAACTTTACAGGCACTTAAAAACAACCAATGGCAGTCATGAGAAAAGACCTACCATGGATTCCAGTGAGAGGTTTTGGAAACAGGTGTGGTCTATAACTGCAACCTCGGGGTACCAAGGGTAGGGGATTACAATAATAATGTACATGACAAAACACAGTGACATTGTTGTTTTTCATTTACACCCAGTAGCCTGAAAAAGGTAACTAAAAGGTCCAAATCTAATACGGCTCCAAGGCCTGTTGGTATTCGAGATCGGCTTTGGAAACTGTTTCCTTGTGTCCAAAACCATGACTTCAGTGCATAAATTCTCTTGTGGATACAGGGGATGTGAGGCATCAAGACTCATGATGAAAACAAGGCATTCCACATTCCTCATGGAAAGGTTATCTGAGCAACCACTGCATCGAGTTTATGAGCAGTGTGTTGAGAATATCAGCAACCCTGCAGAGTCCTCCGCTTGGATAAAGTCGGCTGGCCTGAAAAGTGAAACAGAAGGCTTTCTCTTTGCTGCTCAAGACCAGTCACTTCCCACTCGAAACCGTCAATGTGTGAGTTTGCATCAAAATGTAAATGTGAAATGTAGAATATGCAATAACTTTAACGAGACTGTCCAACATATTGTCAGTGGATGCCCAGTATTGGCACAAACACAGTTCCTTAAGTGACATGATGTAGTGTCTCGACCGTCTTTGCAATGCTTGTTGTTTTGACAGAGAGGTTCAGGAAAAACATGGCAAATATGCAGACCTCGCTTTCGAAATGTAACGCTTGCATCCCAAGAACCAAATTGTCCGTCTCCCCATTGTTCTTGGTGCCTGAGGTTTGGTACCTCCCAATCTGATGATATTTGGAGAATGCCTGGGTTGGCTACCAGGATTACAGCCCTTCTGACCATGTGGGTAATGCAGAAGGCTGCAGTGTTGGGGAGTCTTCACATTCTCCGAAAAGTTCTGGGTGGGTTTGACGAGGCAGCGTTTCCTGGGAGAAGTCCAATTCGCTGTCTGGGCTTCGTGCGTGTGTGTGTGCTGATGATGAGCCTAACCAGCCTGACTGTGCCAGGTCCACCCAAACCCTCTTTGCTGCGTTTTAAAATTTTAATCTGTACATAATAACAATTTTCATTCTTCCGTGAACTATGACATGCTAAAACAATCCCTGAAAATAGTATATAGATGTTTCAGAAGAGTTACTATAAGACAACTCACCTCGTACTCATCACCATCATTGGTAATCCAACTAAGAAATTGCCCAGCATGGCAATAACTGTCTGCTGTTCGAGATTCATCGCTGTTGTTTACATGACCATGATTTGTAGACACGTTAGGTAATGTTTTCAATGATAACCCTCCTTCAAGATCCTGATCATAGGTCATGTTCCTGTGGGGATGACGAATCATACACACTATAGTAATGCCGAGACTCGATCGGAAACAGCTTCCTAGAAACATGCCAACCGAGAGAAGCATGGCAAGACAGTAGCGCCATTTCCCCTTTGGATGATCTGAAAGAGTGAATTCATTTGCGCTATAAATCTGCTCCTATGATTTGGTCCTGTACGGAGCAGCTGACCTTTTTTAATAATACAAGACATGCAATTGTTGTTTTTCTTGCTTTATTTAAGTTTATTTCTGTAATGACGAGTTCGGTTCAGTCTAACTTTCAAAATGTCACCATTGCCGTCACTTTAAAACAAACACATTTGTTGTATCCTAGTGCAGGTAGTGCAACGAAATACTGATAATTTTTTTCCTGAAATGGCGGCACGGGTAGCCCAGGTGTCCAATTCGCTGTGACATATATTCGCCAGAAATATATGATCGTGGGTTCGAATTCCGGTTTAGCTCGATTTTGTTTTTCGGTTTGTCAGCATCATATCGGTGCTTGTGGGTTTCACAAACGTGGTAAACCTATGCGACCTTCATCACTTCGGGCTTTCCTCCCACATTTAGCTGACACGCCGTGACATAACTAGAATGTTGTTGAAAGCGACGTTAAACCCATCTCACTAAAATCCCGAGATCGGAGGCTATCACGACAGTGCGTTTGGGGGATTGTAAATGTTCTGTATTCTGAATATCTTTGTATATGGCGTACCTTGCCGTATCACATATCTTAATTTCATATTTAGGGTTTTATCCGTATATGACTCGAACGGATATCGTTTTTATTCATTAACTTTATATGGTTAGTGAAATGGTTTATGCTATACTAATTTATTCATATCTTTTCATTTTATTCCTTTAATTTCAATAATTTGTGATTTCCTCTTTTTCCCCATTGTTTCCCTTAAGCAGGTTCTTTTGAGGCCATTTCTTGATTTACAACTTTCTCATAAAACAATTAACCAGAACATGTTATAAGTAGCTGCTCAACTAAGAGAACATCTCTTTCAAAACATTATTCACAGTATCATATTCAACTCATATCATACAGAAATCACAATACAAAACACGTTTACAGTATGCAATCGTATGCATCAATTATCAAAATATAAATATTCTGGGGTATTTCTGTCAGGTGTATCATGTACGTTACGTTGCTCACATTGTAATATTGCACATGGACGTAAACACCGCGGCCTTCATAATGTACAGCCATATCACTTCCAAGCTCATGGATGTGTCTCCACCGAGTGTCCACATTGTGGTTTCTCCAAACGCACTTATAACCCCGGTCAATGGATCAGTATGCCCTAAGCAATCATTCTCACCTCCATGGGGAGTATACAGCCTAATCTGCCTTCTCATCCTACCGGGTACCCATTCACTGCTGGGTGAACAGATGCATATTACTTAACCAAGAAGACACCACATGTGTTATATGTGCTTCAGTGTGGGGCATGATCGAAGCTGCCTAACACAGTCCCCCATCCAAGAGCTCTCCGCGACCAACGTGGCCCAACTTCAGTTGACTTATCACCTGATTTGTGATATGACATTTGTAAACTAGATCCATCAGATATGTAGTTGTACTTGTAAAGGTTCATTCACAATACTGTCAACAACTATACATCTGTCAAATGCAGGAGTGCAGACATCTTAAGTGACGCTGAATCAGAGGGAGGCTAAACCTTCTCACGTGGCAACATCGAATATTACCTCTTTTGACAGTTGAAAACAAATAATCCAACAAACAACCTGTATAAATGACAACATGGCATAAGTAGTGAAGAATGATATTAGACATTCTGTCTTTTAGCAAAAACTCTATTGTTTTTTCTGTTTCTGTTGTATGTTTGTTGATATATTTGATTCTCAATCTATTCATAAAAGAAACACTGATTGGTAAATTTGGTGTAGGTTTCAATATAACATTTTTGGAAATAATGCTAGTTTTCTCACTTTCATTACCACATTTATAAACCATGCATGAAGGAGAAATTGTCTTTTCTTCAGGGCGGAAAGTATCACTGGCACAATTAAAAAATGCATGAAAAGTTTGTGAACTGTCTAGATATATTGTTTCACTCTGAACGTCAACGTATGTGGTGACATATTGCCGTTTAACGCTAAGGCTACCCAACCTTCACCCTTTGGATATACCTTACAGTGTTAATGGTTCGTAACAAGTTTTATGGCCAATATGTAACAGAACGTTGTCCCGATAGTACTGTCCAGTCAACACATTTTCAACACGTGAATATGCTTGCACACACATGTGAGATACCATATATCAAATCAACATGTGGTAAAAGCATAAGATTTTAACGCTAGAGATAGTCTAACAAACACAAAGTAAACAAAATGAAGCCGATCGGCCAACGGGAGCACAGTGATGAGTAGAGATACCATATTGGTGTAACCTTTAAGTATGTGTATAGTGCTGAGGTAGGATACCATTTTTATGAAAATATAATAACAACCAATCAGGGATTCGTCAGATTCTGGAATAACTAATATTGTCCTTTATTCGTAGATACCTAGCCTACCAAACCCATGAATTGAAGACAATAAAAGTTTAATTAAGTACCCATTAATGTACAATGCATACCACCGCGCAACAGGTGGCTACAGT